GATGTGTATAAGAGACAGTATATATATATATATATATATATATAATAGGCCTATTTATGATCGGTTGTCGTAATTAATATATTGTTTTATTTTCAAATTAATATATGTTTTGGAATTAGTAACTTGGCAGTTTTATATCCGATACAAAGGTTAGTAATACCAGCTTACCATGAAATAAATTTATGTTCAACTGTCTCACTGCCATTCAGATGTGATGGCAAGAGCATCGTCGTTACCTACAAGCAAACCTTCAGGGAAATCCACAGTGCGCCTCGGTTCAGTAACTCACTAATATTTTAGAGGAAAAGATCATTACAGGCCTAAATGGAGCTCCAATAGACGGAGCACAACCCCTAAACAAAAATCAGTTTTTGCAACCTTAAATACTTCCATTTCCGAATCTCAACCCATGTTAATCAAATTTCATGATATCAATGTCATTTTTTTATTTGAGGCATTAATTATGAGAGATATGATGATGGTATCGGTTCATTACACAAATCCCCTTTCTAAAATATTTATATACGCGGAACCACTCCGTTAATCAATTCAGTATTTTCACAGCCTATCCAGTAATAAAAAGAACGGAGCGTAAAGACAAGAATCGCGCGACTAGTGGACCGTTTTCAGGGCGATAGCCACAAGAGAACAGTCGAATGTCGATGGCTTTACTGCAGCCGTATATTCGCAACTGTGTATACTATAACAATAAATCGACATTTCAGGTACTCGAGTCAACCAACATTATAGGTATTGATGGTAAATACAGTAATTAGACTACACTATATATGCTGGTATAATATTTATTGAAAGCCCTTAAATTTCAACAATAATTACTACAGACCAATATGTGATTGCTACTAATAGCAGACAATTTGTTTTATTATGATATTGGATCAATTTTAATAATAACAATAAACAGATGGGGATCAATAAGCACTTTTTTTTTGAATGAAAAACTAATTAATCTTCTGTTTTTTTTTATCATTTCTTAATGTAGAAACTTTAATTTAATTATACAATTGTTATTCAGCTGCAAATGCTAAAATATTTAATTAATACCCTAATTTATCTTTAATTATATAATATATAGGCCTGTCATACATATGTATATATATATATGTGTGTGTGTATGTGTGTGCGTGTGATATATTTATATATATTATATTCTTATTATATTAAGCATAAGTAAAATAATTCCTTAATTTACTATCATTATTATTATCATTAATATTATTATTATTATTATTATTATTATTATTATTATTATTATTATTATTATTATTATTATTATTATTATATATTCACTCATTCATTCATTTCATAACATAAATACAAAAACATTATTCGGTGATATATTGTGTATATTTGTTATTATTACTATGCTAAGAATCGGAGCTTTGAGTTTATACCCTTTTACAAATACAGGTCTCCCTCCAATTAAAGACCACTTTTGGAACTGGGGTTTCCATGGGCATAATGAGCTTTGGTATCTAATTAGAATAATAAAGAGAAAATATTTTTGTTAAATTGGGACCACATACAGTGGCCTTTAATTAGAGGGAGACTTGTAATGTTCAATTACAATTTGTTCAAGTGAAAGACAGCCCTTTAAAAGACGCACGCATATGTTGTCACTTTGCCAGCATGGGATCATCTGATGCGCGACTTTGAAGGCCAGCCATGGAAGCATTATTATAGTATAGTTTTAACAAAGTTTAGCGGCTGATCGATTGTTTTTTAGTTACAATTGCTTTTAACACTTAACTGTTGCTTTGTTGTTTCTTGCCTATTCATGTTAGATTACTACTCTAAAGGGACATGTGTTCGTTCAATGCCAAGACTCAACACCGCGTATTCTCCAATTGTTCACATGGTCTGGGGTCCTTGTGAGCACACACGTGACAAAATCGACAGGTGAATCCGGATACAAGCGCAACCTGTTTAT